TGGTCGTAACCCGAAAAGTTCGTTAGTAGAGGCGTTCATATCCCGAGGTACCACTGTATAACCAATTCTTCTGGAAGGACTCAGTCTGAACAATAAAATCAAAGGATAAGGCCGCTTAGAAGCAATTTAGCTGTTTCATATGGAGTAGGAAGACACTCTTATGATCCATGCCTCAAGAGTAAAGTCACTTTAAGAAGACTTGATCTTTTTGGGCATCTATCTAGATGGTGGAATTCCAGGAACACAAACATATCTCAATTCTGACTTCAATACACTTCAAATTGTTTTTTAACAATGACTTGTTGAAACCTTTGTCAGCTTAAGGTGTATCTAGACCAGCATTCTTCCTGCTCAATGATATTCAATGACTTCTCCTTAAAACTATACTTCCTTTCAGAACTGTAGGTACATTTTTCTACCATAATACTAAAGTTGCATGAAGCTCTAAAAAGCAAGCAAACAAAACTTTTATTTTTTAAAAAAGAGTTTCAAAGCTGGCTAAAATAATGAAAGTAATGGCTGCAGAATAAAGCAAGTGAGAAAATGTTTCCCAGAATGACGTTAGGAAGATATTCTGTAGAAAAGGGAATATTACAATAAGATTATGTGATGTGGGACACACCACACATCTTCCCATCATGAATTTTAAAGATGGAACCACTTGAAAGATTGCTGGTCGAATGCCACACTCCAGATAACCTGGAACAGCTTTTAACTTAAATGTAATTTTAAAAAATGATTGCCATGGGGGCCTTGCTTAAAATTAAGACTGTGAGAAGTGAGTAAGGGAAGTTAATTTGTGTTGGGAAGGCATTTTGTTGCAGGTTATCTTGGGATATCTATTGGCACCAATGGAAGCCTTGTCTTTGTAGCAAATTGCAACTATCAGATGAGTGCTTGATCACCAGGACTATGTCTAAGGGCACCCACACAAACGCCTGTGTAGAAGCTCTGGCTTGTTTTCACCTTTCAGGTAGGTTTAGATTTAAATAAGTCCTACTGGTCTACGGCATATGTGCAAAATCCATTTCTCTCCTCAACTACATCTGCATTTCCAGTATTCTGTACAAGAAGGGAAGCTGAAGGAATTAAGATGGTGGTCTAATTCATGCAAGAACGGCTCATCTCAGTAAGACATGCAACCCACTTTCCCTGCCTCCCCAACTCTGCCATGCAGTAGCAATGAAGGCATTGATAGTTCCTGGGTTAAAAAAGGACCAGCAGATGGGGCACTGGAAACATGGACAGGTGGCATTGCCAGCAGTGGCGGGCAGGGTTACTTGTGAGCTATAAACAGAACATCACCAAAACTACCTCCTGGGACTGCATCCAGCCAAGCCTGCACTGCCTCGTGGCGGATGGAGGGAAGGTCAGATGCTGAATTAAAATAAAATAAAATAAAATAATAATAAATTCCACATCACACTAAACATATATTCTGAAATGGAAATATCACAAAAGGAAATGTATAGAAACAGAAAAACAAAACAAACACCAGGGAAAATCAAACTCAGAAAGACCCTAAGTGGGAGTGCAAGAAGGGGGAGGTTGAAACATGAATTCCTTCAACTTGGTATCTGCTGCCATGGCTACTGCTACCTACCTGTAGGCAATTGTGTTGAAAAATTATTACAAGCTGAGATTAACATATGCATGAGCCCTGACCTTTCTCTTGGAAATCAGAGATCCTCTAGTAAAATCAAAAATACTTAAAACAGAAATGCTCAGTTCAATGGACTATCCCAATCCCTATTATATTCACTCCTTTCCTTTAAGTGGGTGAATTGTTTCTCTGATGATTACTCTGCCAGAGAGACTCCAAATCTTTGAAGTCCTCATACTGTCATCTCCCTGGTTCTCTTGCCAAAGACATTCAGCCTTGATAAAAACTTTTCTCTCTATAACAGACAATGTAAAAATGGCAATTTAGAGCCTGTTACTTAATACGAGTTACAAAACTGTATCTTCAGCCTTCTCTTGCATATCTCTTAGCTATGAGACAAGATCAAGCCCTTTTATACTACTTAACCTGGAATATTAAAAAGGTTGGGGGGGAAAAAAAAGGTTCCCCTACCTGGGAGACGCGTTACGTGGGTGTGGCTGGCCTGGATGAGAATTCTAAGAGTTCATCCCAACAAAAATTAAAAGGGACTATAC